ATCGGTGATATGTATCAGATGTTAGGTATTATCACTGTTCAAATTGCCCACATTTCTTGTGTGTGTCCACCGTGGACAATACCAAGGCCCAACCTTCCGGATCATCCATTTTCATACGCTCAGCTAGCGCATCAAAACGATCCCACCACCAACGATCCATGACATCGAATCCTTTGTCGGATCTGCTTGGTGTGATTCGGGATTGCCACGGCTTATCGGCATATATATAATGCAGACAGCGAATCTCGTCCTCGGACCACATGGCAGGGTGGACATTTCGGTGTGAACGAAAGGCGTTGTAGGACCACGGGATAGGATGCCATTTCCCCTTGAAATACTCCGAGAGGAGGTCCTGATCTGGAAAAGCCCATTCCGAGACGCGTGGATGAGAAGCGAGAAATTGCTGAATACCCGCGAAGAGCTCTTTGGAGGGGTTGAGAACGACTGTTCCCGAATTGAGCTGGGAATACGGACGCGGGGAATTCTGCTGGATCGAGGGTGGTTTCGCAGTAGAAATCTTAACGGTACTGTACGCGCAGTTGGCTGGTTTCCTGAGCAAAAAATAAATATTAATGTTATCTTTTAGCCATATTTAAAAGATGCGAAAGAGCTTACCAGTCCAAGGGGTAGTGCTTCAACGCGCGCGGGTTGCATGCACACACATGCACAGCGCCGATGTGGTCATTTCCGCGGAGGTCGGTATCCATTAGCTCGTCCATGTTTTTGAGGACGATCATGTCACTGTCGAGGAGGACTATCCGCTGAAATACAGAGAATTTAGCTCACTCGAGCAGACTGAAAGATCTGGTAGTATTTTACCTCGAATTGAACAAGTCCAAAAGCCCTATAAAAAATAGATCAGCTTCTAATGACATAAACGACAGGGTCACCCCAGCACACCTTAATTTAGTCCATGTATCCGCGAAACGGGAGTCGTGTGCGTGTAACTTGTGTTGTCCTTCCGGCGGACGAAGTGTTTCGACTTCTGTGATGCCTATCCGCTGCCTGGACAGAACCTTTCGCGCACTGTCTGGCAAGGATGGCGTCACCATAACCACCAGCCTATACTTCGACTTGACACGGCGCAAAGATTGGTTCAAAACCAGAACACCTGGGAGATAGGAAATTGAGGTGAGGAGAGTAACGTAAGCTGCCTTGGAGGGCATGTGAACGATAGTTGGGTCGATATGGGGTTTATGAAAGTTTAGGAGGAGAATTGTACGAGCATTTAAAGGAGAGTCCGGCAGGTCCGCATTTGTCAAGCTAGCTAATATGCGCCGCCCTCTTGTCTATTTATACAGGGCGCAGCAATTGGTATCGACGTTCACGCATCAAGTACGCTCGTCCTCGATAGACTCACACTTGACTTTCACTTTCACTCTTGATATCCCCATTATTGACGTCGAGAATTTTTCCTGCAGATTAGGAAATTAAGATAAGAATATCCGAGTTATTAATACGTGAATGACCCGGGGCTGGTACTTACAGTGCCTGTCGTGGTACTCATCAATCTTGCATACATATAATGGTCAGCTCTGACTTCATATTATATAAACGTCATCGGGACTTGTGGCACAGCACAGCCACGGGATCTAAAGCCGAACCAGTATGTAACTCGGAGGCTCCTTGGCACATCCCATGAGCTCCCATGAGGTTGACTGGGCAATAAACTCCGACGCGAATGGCAGAAATTGACGACAGATTATTGATATTCTCTTTTGAATCATTGGCTCTAGATTTCTGTGCCCACCCACTGCATTAGCTCTGTTGGTGCGACCATTCGCCAATTCGCTAGTCACCACCATATGTTTTCTATCACGACTTCGTAGAAAGAAGGGCAGAAGAAATCACTCGTATTGCAGCGGCCCGTAGAACTTGAACTTTGAACACTTGTTCAGCCACCTGAGCATTCACCTGCACAAATCTATTTTTATACGCATCTTCTCGAACGGTCGTCGACTGCATAAGACTCCCCAGAACTCATTACAGAAGAGTGCATTCCCCTCATGTTTCTTCCAGCAATCATAGCTCTGCTCTCTGCTACTAATATAGGCGCCTTAGCGCGGCCCAGCTCCTACGCTGTCTGGGCTGCCGATTCCGCTATTGCTCGAGGCCAAGGGAATGGCCTTGATGCTAATGGAAACGCGATTGTATCTTACGAGCACGGGGAGCTACAATGGGGCCTCCGACAGCTGTACGAGAAGACGAACAACAAGACCTATTTCGATTATATCCAGAAGGGCATCGATAACGTCGTATTTAGTAATGGGACCGTTCATGGAAGTTATAGGTAGCATCGTATTAATATATCAGAGTGATGCTCAATTAATCGAAGAACAATATTGAAGCGTTGCGAGCTATGTTTTGGACCCTTTGAGGAAAGCCATCGTGAAATGCTTTTATTTACGCTAAGATTGCTGACTCTAATCCATATACTAGAACTGGTCCAACAATGATTTACTTGTGAGTCAATTATATCGACGTACACGTATTAATCTGAATGCCGTGTCTATGTAATGATCTGCGGTATTGCTATTAGATACGAGGAAACTCGTTTAACACAGTATAAGACTGCCGCAGATATTTTCCGCAGCCAGCTCGATTCTCATCCTCGTACGGCCCAAGGTCAATTTTGGCACAAACTTGCTTACCCTAATCAAGGTATGCATAATAAGACGAGTTTATTTACTGACCCCATCGCTTATCAACAAATGAACTAGGCTGGTTAGATGGTATTTACATGGGAGAGATCTTCTATGCCGATTACACATCGAAGTTTGAACCCACGAATAGAACAGCTTGGGGTACGTTCTCTTATCTGAGCCTAGGGGGCCGAAACGGCGTTCTCATGGCGTTTTCTAGATGACATCACTCAACAGTTCGTCCTCATGTTTGAGAACACTATCCAAAACGCTACGGCGCCGAATAATACAGGACTCATGTATCACGGCTATGACTATTCGCAAGTCGCTGCTTGGGCGTCTGCTGATCGAGGACATTCACCTGAAGTGTGGGATCGCGCGCTTGGCTGGTACTCCATGGCCCTCGTAGACATTCTGGACATCATTCCGAAATCTCATCCTGGCCATGCGAAGATCCTATCAATTTTGCAGACCATCGTACCACACATCCGTGATGCCGCAGATCCCACGAGTGGAGTATGGTGGCTGGTTATTACGGAACCCGGAAGGACGAGAACTACTTCGAAAGTAGTGGCGCGGCGATGTTCGTCTACGCGATGCTGAAAGCAGTCAGACTCGGGCATGTTGAAGATAGTAATGGAAGCATTAGTTCTGCTGCAAAGAAGGCGTACGACTATATGATTAATAACTGGGTAGTGCCAAACTCCGATGGTACGATGGGCTGGTTAAACACTGTTATTGTGAGCGGGCTCTTGTCACACATACGCACAGTCTGACGTAGCGGTGCAGGTCGGCAGCCTTGACACAACTGGAGATTTTGATGTACGTTCTTGTCAATCTTGCAATGGGGAGTTCGGACTAAATATCAATATCCAGTACTACACCAGTGAACCTATAGATCTCAATGACTTGAAGGGCCTGGCGGCGTTTCTGCTTGCCAGCTTGGAAATTGAGAAAATTTAATACGGTAACCTTAGGTGACAGATGACGGTAGACTATCGATGGGTCGGGTCGGGATCTCGGTGTCTATGGTATGGAACGATACGAATTCTGAACTTTATCAATCCGATGTATGTACCTGGTGTGTACCCTCAATATCATTCAGGTATTGGGTCGGTCGTAGTATGTACTAAACCGAAAATGTTTTGTATACGCTCGTTAAGGCTTGTGGATATCGAATGTCCGAGGAGACCTGTTCATAATGATTGTCTACATTTTTAGTCTCTAAATTGTCAACCATGTGAATTGAATTTCGCCACCAAGGAATATGATCAAGGTGGCCATACCTCGGGTCGAGCGTTGAGTAATGAGAAACGTATGCGCTGCGGCAGATTTACACATCTGCATAAGTAGATAATTGATGGCACACAATACTCGTTATCAGTGTAACATGTAAAAAACGAGTAAGGCGGCATGCGAAATTTTATACAGCTATTTTCAAAAATAATGCAAGCCACCTCGTACTTTTTTTCGAGTAGTGTTGTCCACCGTTCTGACGTCAAGCGGCAGGGCAAAGTGGGGCAGAGCAGGTTCGTCGCATAGATTGGGTGTTACTTTATTAGATCAAGCAAAAATTTAGTTTGAAATCTAGCAAGAATGCAGCTTCGTGCACGGCCATTGTTGAGCGAAAGGCGGCTTGCGTCATGCTGCCAAACTTCACCCAAATGGCATTGCTTGCGACCCCACACCGCCACTTGAGCGAAAAGCTCAGGCAGTCTAGCGTTTTGACAATAGCTGTAGTACATGCCCGGATTATCTATGCTTGAATATTGCAATGACTCAGTGAGCAATAGTCGTGCAATTATGAATGCCGCAACATGAACAAAGCTGGATTCGTTCGCATCAACCTATTATTTTTCGCACTGAAATATCAAAGACTACAAACTGAGTGAGAATTTCATCGTCCTGACTGGACTGTCAGGCAATTAATAAGCTTATCGAATGTATAAGGAAAGTATTTCCTTCTTTATTCGCGCTACCTGAACAATCAAAGCAGTACATCATTGTCCCAACATTACCCAGCTATTGAGATATTGGCGCTTCCGCTCTCGCGACGGTTCTATAGACCATTTCCAGAAAAATGTCTACATTAGCAGTTCCCACTCCCATTCGCCACTTTTAAGCGCCATTTAAGCAGAGTTGCAGATCATTGGATTTGGAAGTGTTCAAGAAATATTTACCCGTCACGAAGCAGATGTCATTCGCAAAAACGCATTTTAGGGATGTATCCCCAGCCTCAAAGACAGTTTCTATAACTCCTCGACGAAGACGGAAAGGAAATTTAACCGTTGTGGGAAGCCCAGATGGTACATTTCCAAGCTGCGCATCGCATGTGGGCAGATTGTTGGATTAATGTAATCCGGTATGGTGTAACGGCTAACATTACCGCCTTTCATTGTATTCCAACGACAGGTGCGCGGTAGCTCGGGGTTCGATTCCCCGTACCGGAATTTCTTTTTTTTCCATTAGGTTTTGAAATTTCTATTGCAGAAATTTCAAATTCTGTCCCGACTTGGACATCCCGACTCTTTGGGGTTCGTCACAACACGAGTATCCCTGAAGGCCTGAAGGCTGAGATGGTGAGTATCTACAGCGACTTATAAGTCCGAAGTTGTCGACTCAATGCAAATATTGTATAGCTGCAACTCGGGTCTCCGTCTACAGCAATTATCAGTCTTCAGAAAAGAAATTGAAATGTTACAGCTTGTAAGTTCTAGTCGTCGAGACTTAATGCAAACTCGTATCAGACTATCAGTTGAAACTCGGAGTTTGCAAGTGCCAAGGACTCAATATGGTCAAAAAAAAGATTGGGAATCCAGGTTGCCATGTGTGCAAAACGTATTGCATGCCCCCTGCAAGGTTCGAACTTGCGACCTCAGGATTGCGTAACTTGCGTTACTCATATTTGAGATATGAGACCTGCGCTCTAACCAACTGAGCCAAGGAGGCTTTGTGATGTACAAGAACTTGACATCTTGGGACGAGACTGATCTCTGACGCCGAATTAGGTAAGCTACTACACTGGCCAAACGGCGACACCTCATCGAGAAAAATTGGTCATTCCCAGGGTTGTTAAGTCAGCTGTGGTGCATTTTTAGACCCAGGGAGATCTCCCCCGTTCCCACAAATAGTGGCCAGGGTTTTCCGCGCTAGGCGGACCCCTGTCGGCGATGCTCACCATGAAGTCGAGCCGATGTCGACAATATAAGAGCTTTTATTAAGCTTTAGATGACTGTTTTAATACATAGTAATTAAATCTACTATGCTAGGTTTAAAAAAGTTAAAAACAAAAGCAAAAAATCACTATAGACAGTCCATTCGAAGATAACGGCGCCCATCGATCTCCGAAATCAGTGATTCACATAATCACATTGAATCCCCTTGAATTCGAGGTTGGCGTATAGAAGGAAAAAGGAGTGGTTGTCAACGAGTTTTGTACGAGACTCGAGCATCCGCGAGAATGCTACATCTTCTAAAGTGTAGTCAATCGCATCCGGGTTACCATGTAAAGTACGCTCGATTACCCTTTCATAGAGGTTCCGAACGGTGAATAGGAATGTGGATGGACTGAAATATCGCCCTTCTATGAATATGCCTTCAGGCTGTGGCCAATCTGGGAGTGGATCCGATGATCCTGGCTTCAACTTTGACGCAACTCCATCTGCGCAAACACCTTTTTTGTGGTTCAAGTGAGTCTGAGTCCTGTTCCCGGGATACATGACTGTCTTGCAACGCGAACAAACGGCGTCTTTACGCTATAATATTAATATAAGCTATTAGATCCATCGATTTGATATTAGTCTTTCAAATATACCTTCTTCTGAGCAGTAACATCACCGGTGCCATTATTGTTCTCTAAATCAACAATGGCAGTTACGGCCTCACAGTGTTTCTTCCAAAATGTTTCGGAGCCTGACTCCGAACTCTTGGCTAAAGAATAGGACTCATATAAGCACTAATATCAGGATTGAAAAGAGAATATCACATACATTTATAGTTACGAGTAGAAAGCCTTTCGCGAATCTTCGGTTCAATCTCGTTAAGCTTGTCCATCAGCGCCCGAGGATTCTTCTTGATTATCTTGAGCATCTTTTTTCTTCCCAACTCCTCTAAACGCTCGTTGTAAACACTTGTGGCAGATGCCCACTTCGATACTGTCATTCCAAACGTTGTCCATTGGAATTCAGCGCGCATGTCCATGAATAAATAAAACTCGTTGTCTTCTGTGATATGAAGCGCTCGAGGGTCAATAGATGTTCCTAGAGAGAACAGCAGCTGAGATGGAGTGAGCCCTTCGTCGCGCAATGCAGGAGGCAGTGTTAGAGGACGCCTAAGTCTATCCAAAGCTAGGGATGAAGTTGACGGCGCTTGGCTGACAGCTTCCTGACGAGAGGAATTTGAACCTGTCGTTTCAAACCTGAAAAAAGCATATGGGGGATTTCTTTCAGTCTTAGCGTGCCCTGACTCGGATGTTGCACTCGGAAGAGAAACCTCAGCGGCTACAACAGCATCTGTAGGCTCGCAATCCATTAGAGCCATGTCGTCAAAGGACACCTTTAAGTAAATAGTTAAGAATCAGATATAATTTAGATCGAGACGTCAAGTAATTGACTCGATACTTACATATGGCTTTGGTGATTCGAGATCCGAGTCATTGGGTTCAGGAGATTCGATCTCTTGCAGGATTGGAGTAGGTAAACCTAACGAAACTGTACTTGGGCTAAGAGGCCCAGTATGACGTGTACGTTTTGAATCTGGCATTCCATTCGTACCATTAGATGCCTGGGTCAAATTATCTGCACGATCCTTTCGTTTCTGTGATGGCACGGAGGATTTACTAGAAACTAGTGTTGCCTCAGGCGTAGCAGCACTAGTAGATGGCCTCGGAGGATCTGCGGGAACGATCATATTGGCGGTAGACTCGTAGGTAGAGGACGTAGATACCCGGGCCATTCTAACAGAAATAAGCCGTTCGTCTACCTCGAGTGATTTGATAAACTGGGTTTGGTCCATCTCTGAGATCTCTGCATCAATGTCTTCCAGTAGAGTAGTGTCCAGGTCTGTGGCTTCGGTCTTCACTTCGATAAGTCCACCAAATGTCAATGAATGCGCAGATTTGACTAATCCAATCATCTCGTCGACTTGTATACGGGGAAGGATCGGCAACGTGCCAGCAAGTGTGGCCTTCGACTGAGGCAGCTCTTTGTCATATAGCAAATTGAATAGCTCAGCTGTGTGGTTAACGAGCTGTACGTGATGCGACGCATGAGTTGATGCAACAAATTCATTGAAGTTGACAGAACGCCGGTTTTCAATGCGCGCAGAGGCGACACGGATGTTTCGTCGAAGAAAAAAATCATGAGCAAGGGCAGTATAGACCTCGATGCCACTGGGATGAGCCCGTTGAAGTGAATTCCACGCTTTATGTGTTCCTTCGATACGACTGCCATCCATGGAAATATCTTCCCTAGGACGTGCTAGACATCCCTTTCGCACATGTTCGAGTTGATCAGCATGTACCTGGTATTTAATCAGCATCAATGATAGCCTTCTAATGCACAAAAAAAAATGTACCTTGGATGCGGCAGCTGACCATACGTTCCCATTCTGCAGCCACTTGTTATAAGCGTCCACAATTTTTGTTTCTTGCTCTTTCTGCGTCCAGTACAAAGCGGGTATGTTCGTTGTTGCAGGTCTCTTGATGATAGCGTCCCGGATATCCAGAAGCACCTCCCGACGATGAGGATTTTTAGTGCCTCCATATATTACCGCACCATATCTTATATATAGAATAATCTGTCAGGAAGTGATTTCTGGCATTCATGGAGTCAACAAACCTCATCATAAAGTGGTATACATCCAGCAATACTGAAGTACCAGGCCCAAGACCTTGAACAACAAACCGTCGAACCTGACAGCAATTATCAACAATAACAGACGTTGGCCTAGCAATTTCCATAGCGTCATGCCGTTTACCGATGTCTTCTAATAACTCTCGTGCTTCGGCAGGTGAATTGCTTGTGCAGAATCTCTAAAATAAATGGGTTACTCGGCACGAAGAAAAGACAGTCACTTCGACGTACCCATGTGAGACCCTCGCCTTCCTCGTTGATCGCACTGAGAATGCCGCCTTTTAGAGGATTCTGTCGTTGCCCGTCTTTATCCACTAAAGCCGCCTTTCCCGCTGATTTGAATGTATTATCCATTGAGATAGATTTCGCTAACAAAATTTATGAGCAAGATATTGAATAAATAAAAAAGCTTAATTCTCACCAGTTCTAGTCTTACAGTATTCAATGGATTCCGATCGTCGAACCTTTGCCACAAAGTCCAGATATAAATCCGTTATCAAATCATGTGTGACGAAAGAGTCATTGTAGCCGTCTTCGTCTGTAGGCGATGAGAACTTCTGGAGTCGATTTCGCTTGAATGGGTTCTGTCGAGCAGATTTGAAGTATAAAAGATACTCAAGCATTCTTTGCCTATGCTCGAGTAGATGAAGCTCTAATACGGGGCATCAGACATAAGTAATAAACACTGATTTAATACTCAGCAACTCACGCTTTAAGTTTTCAGCTATACCGGCAGACGTAGATGATGTGCGGAGTTCTATGATCATGTCAAAGAGCTCGTGTGTTACTGCAGCCCGTTTGAGAAAATATGGAATGCTCCCTGATTACGAACGAGCAATGAAATAGTAAGTTCATCAGGTTGTTCTATTTATAAAAGAGCGCTTACTCGGAATTTTCCAATGTTCCCATTTATCCCAGAAAACATGGTTCGTTGTAGCAAAGCAATACTTTTCTCCGGGTACTTTGTTAGATTTGCAATCCTTGCATCGGAGCTGATATCCTATGGCCCGTTCATTTTTTCGAACCCCATATACATCCCGAGCGCCGGTAGCATTCCATCCGTCCCAAAGGATTGCCGCTGAGGCACATTGTGGACAATTTGTGAATGTGGTGGGATAAAAGACTGGATGAACGATGGTAAGCGCAGCAATATACATCTGCTGGGGATCTATGGCAGGTGTTGGATCTCGTCGCATCTGGTGGAAAAGGCTTGGTGGGATAAATCGCGGCCCCAAAAGTGGGATGGCCTTGTCAATAGTTCGTGCCACGTCTTTGGCTTTGGCGTTTCCATGGACAGAGAGCCTTGAATAAAGATAATCGACGTACTCAATGACCTCTGCTTCCCATTCCAGCTGGAAGAGCTTAGTCGATTGATTGTCTTTGTGTTTTTTCCAAGATTTTAACCGCTTATCAACCTATAATGAAGGTATCGTCAATGTCTCTAGCCAACTGAAGTGAATAGGATACGCACATTCTCCTTCCACGTCTTCTCAAAGCTTTCTCGAGCTGAAGCTGTCTTTTCCAAGCCTTTGAGAATCCCGCGTATTATTTTCGGTTCGAAGACATCAGCTTGTAGCGACATTGGGGAGATTTTGGAGGGGGAAAACGTTGGATTTGGAGGTTAGGTGGTGCGTACAATTTACTGGGTAATTACTATAGCGGGCTAATTGGCGCGAATGAATCTGCCTCCGTGTCCCAACATGGCAAATACATCCAATCACTACCCTGACCGTCGAGTTCGTGCTGAGCATCAGCCTAAGGGATGGCAAGATCTGTACAATGATTTGGTTAGGATGCTAAACGCTTAAGCGCTCAGGAACAGTACATACGTAGGACTATTAGCCGATCTTCTGAGATCTGGTATGATGTCAATTATAGGTCCAATTCGGAACTGGCACTGAAGCCTGAGCCTTGAGGGCCATCAAGAGTAGGAGGATAAGTAGGAGGGGAAAGCCACGGTTTCATGTAGAGAGTGAAAAGCAACCAAGAAGCAACTTCGACGTTCGTTGACTCGGATTAGGTAATTTAGGCCTAGTTCTCTCATGCAGGTACTGAGCTCACTGGTTCATTTCTGCGTGTCCGCTAATTACAATCCTG